ATTGTAATCTCGGGTACTATTTTAAATGCTGGAAAAGTACCTCCAATACCTGCCGATGATTTGCCAAATCAGAGTGCTACCATCAGTAATTCATATTCTAGCGTCACCTCTGGTATAACTCCGAGTTCGACCGCTAGCGTTATCTCAACTTCTACCAAGTCTTCGAATGCAAATAGAATTAGAAACGGTGTTGCTGGGATTAGCGTTATTGTTGGTGTGCTCGGTTGTTTTATTGGCATGAAGTTATTATAGAAAGTTACAAGTTCAAATATATAACTATGAAAGTCAACTGGACGCTATTTTAACAGAACAATTGTAAGAATTTATCGAAAGAAGAGCACAACATTCATAGATTGTGTTAATCACAATTATCACTTATTGGTTGTTGAATTACAACGTAGGTCCTTTCAACAAGTCACCAAAAGTACTTCATTCATTTCATTATTTATTGATCAATAATATCGTGAATAAAGATACGGTGCAAATTCAGTAATCCAAAACACCTGTTCCTGTATCAACTTCATCCATATCGTCGGATTCTGATTTATAAACGAATGATGTTTAACTTGAAATACGTCAATTATTTATGCAGTAAAATTTCCACTTGCCATTTTCAAAATATTTTTCTGAAAATAATAATAATGATGAGCCGATTAGCTCACAGACAAATATGGATATAATCTCAATGCTACTGATTTACCCTGAATGTCTTGTTCTTCGATGCTAATGTCATCGTATTCTTCATTGAAATCTACGGTATCATAGTCGAAATAAGGCTTCATAATTAACGGAATACGGTATGCACTAAAACATAAGTAAATCCTACATCGCGAAACGAGTAAACACCATAAAAGAACTCACGTCATTTCCAGAAACAAATTTTTCCCTCATTATGTCGACAAGATCCGTCCTTAACTGTTCTTTTTCCTCATCCGATATATGCGGTCGATTGGACTCCAAAGTTGTTACTCCACTTTCTACTTCTCCGTTTTCTACTTCTCCGTTGCTATTAACAATATCATCTCCTGATGGCTCCTGCATCACTGTCGATTGTTCCTGTACCTGCGGACTACTAATATTTGTAGAAACATTCTCCGTCGATTCTCTGACATTCACGGAATCTGCATGTATGTTTTCTTCTTCCTCTTCCTTCTCTTCCTCTTCCTCCTCCTCTTCCTCAAATTGTTCTTCTTGTATTCTTCTCTCTTCTTCTAGTCGATCATTTATATAACTCTGATCTAGAAAGTATGGATACAAACATCCCATAGAACACATTGTTAGATTTCACCAAAAATTTAATTCACGCACGTCTCACATCCGACTTCACCATAATATCCATAACTGACAACCTACCAATATCGTACAACATTCTATCTACTAAATCAACATTGTCGGCAAATGGAGGATATCTTTCCTCATCAGGTATGTATTGACCCACATAGTCTTCATACAACAACGGTTCCCGGTATTCCATGGCTTCATCGCTAAAATACGAACTGTTGTCAAGTTTAGTTATAAGATATCTATATCGTCTGTTTAATATTTTTTTGTTATGACGAGCGTTGGGATGCAAATCTCGAGATACTGATAAAGGCGTGGATTTTTGTATCTGACTTAGGTGCCAATTGACTTCGTAGTCGGCTGCAAAGAATTGTAAGATGAGAGGATGCTTAGGTGCAAAGGGAAGATTCCTCATACCCTAATTTAAATATCTACCTCTTAATCCTTCAAATTTCAACAATTGCTCTTTTGGCAAATACTTTCCCCATTTTGACAAAAACAATGCTGGATCATCCAGAGTTTGCCTCATGTATGCCAGTTTTTCATCATCGCTCGGCTCGTTTTCATTCTCCTGTAACGTTTTAAAGTAGATGGTTGATAGATTTACTTTGATGTATTGTAGCAATTCTTCTTTCAAATTTGATTCCATAAATAAATTTTTGAGAAACAAAATTCTGTGAAATGCTTTACGATATTTATAATTATTCACTTGTCCAACAACGTGGCAGTCTTGTGATCGCCTGATCGCCATGCGGCCAATCAGTCAAAACTAATAACATGACTTTATCACAAAACGCTTGCATCATTTAAAGTGCCTTCAATGCAATTTTTTTAAAATTTCTCGAAAATAAATAAAATCGAATTTAAACCAAGAGATCAAGAAAACAGAACAAAGAAAAGCAATAGATTAAGATTTTTAATAATATCAAACAAATACTTAAATCATTAAAAGTGTCAGAATTGTTGAATTGGCAACTAACCATAATTTATTTACTCGCATTGCCAAACAGCATATACTGTTAGAAAATACACCACCAAGATTATCAGAGCGTTAAAATTTATCCTTTTAGACATTGGGATTACTTAATAAGT